GACAGAATGTGACATTACACACATGTCGCCTCCCCGGGGATGGAGGGGCCTCGTCTGCAGACCACAGGAAAGGATGAACCGAGGGAGCGGGAGTCGTCGTACAAAGGCAGGACAGATAGACAGACAGGGGTAAAGACTAAAACACTCACGGAAGAAAAAAACCCGGATGGAGATATGTAACTATTGTACTCCGGGAGCAGCTAAGAGTTTGGAGAGTGCGGAAATGTTAATTGTAAATATTTCTGTGGCTTGTTGCTCAGTCCTACTGTATGTGAGGGTTGTTCATGTGTGGCAGCCCTTGTTCCCGTCATGGTAGACACATTTTGTCAAATGTTCACTCTGTGGCGTCACAGCTCTATCTTTAGTGCCACTTAGCATTCCGAACATTCTGTAAGAACCAAGCGTGAGTCACCGCTAACTTGCAGGGTGTGGCATGTTGCTCTCAGGGAGCCACCGCAACAGGTGACCGTACAGGTGTTTCCTCAGCCCAGGTCACTGTGGGACGTCCGACCGCTCTTGCACGTTTTGTGCTTTCTTAAAGTAGAGTTAATACTGTTTGTCCTGTATGTGGTTAGTTACTGCTTCACTAGCAGACAGACAGGTATGTGTGGGAACTAGTTGTGTTCAAGGTAGAACAAAGAAATCTTGTGAAACTACTTACCAAGCTGCCGTCCGTGATGTCGTAGGAACCAGCAAGAGCAAGCATGACTTGAAAGTGAAAAACCTAGCTCAGTGATGCTAACTATTTCCCAATGAAAGGAGCTAGCAGCGCTAGCTCCAAAAGTCGCTAAATCTAGCGAGACCTTCACCAAGTCAGCAACACTGACAGCATGGCCCAAAATGATTAGTATGAACATTAACATATAATGAATGTAAACAACAAACATAGCTTTTGTTGGTAGTCATAGCTTTCAAGCTAGCAGCTCGTGGAAGATTCCCGTGATGCAGAATGAGTGGACAGGCAGGTGGGAAGGTGGGCGGGCTTATTCCTGTCAGAGCATTTGATTTAAAGACAATTTCAACCACTATAACAGAAAGGCTTTCTAAAATACATTACCCATTTTAGAAGAATAAAGAAGTAGCACATTTATTTTCATACAAATAAAAAGTTTAATTTATAAAAAATCACTTCAGTGCACTCTTGGCTTTTTGTTGTTGGTGTTTGTTGAGGTACAACCAGTCTTGATGATTTGACTCTCTAAATAAAAGCAAAATATTTAAGTTGTCGATTCTTTATTTATGACGTTTCAGTTCTCAGACCCTCCTTCACGTTAAATTAATGATTCATAGCACAAAAGCAAACGCACATCGTCGTACCTCGTGGGAAGACTTGATTGTTGTCTCGTGCTTTTGATCCTATTACAAATGCTCTTTTTTTTCTTTCTGCTTCACAACTTTGACTTGAGACTTCCTACGGTGGTGATATGATTTTAATTCATATTGGGTCCATGTAAGTTATAGAAAGAGACTGAAAGGCTTTTCTGTTCGAGAGAGCTGGCCGATGCTTCTTCAGACTGCATGGTTCCTTGCCAATGAGCGCTGCATATTTGTATATTCTTGAAGAAAAAAACCCGAGGAGAGGTGGAAATAATGTGTCTGATGTTGGCCTAAACAAATAATGGACTAAAGAAATTCTCGAGATGGAGGCTGAGCAGACGGGGAGCACGTAGAGGAGCTAGAGAGCGAGAAAGAGAGAGCAATACTCCATTGTGACTGAACTGCAAAATAGGATTTGCATAAATAAGGCTGAAATATCAGCAGGCCCCTTTTACAGCCAGCAGCAGGGCTGAGATGAGGGAAGAGAGTTAGTGTGCGTGTGTGTGTGTGTGTTTTTACTTGTGTGTTTCCCCCCCCTATCTTTTTCAAATAATGCCTTTGTAGTATTGTTGGGTTAAAAATTCAACCCAGGGGACTGGGTTGGCAACGAGGTCTAGGTTTCTTTTCCTCTTATTTACACACCTTTTACC